TTCTTCTAAAGTGACTGGTTTACTACGAGCTGAAATAGTAGTGACAAAGGAGTCATAATCATTGCCAAGTCCTGTAAGGAGATACACAATTATTTTATCGCATTCCTTGACCCGCAATTGCTAGTTCATCTGCCATGTGCTTAATATACATAAAGTAGTCACTTGTAGATAAGGCTCCTCTTTGAGCATTGGCTAAGTCAGTACGTAGCTGAATAGCCCGAGCACGAGACTGAGAGGAGAAGCTTGTTTCCAAGGCTCACCATAAGCAAGAAGCAGTAGTGTGAGACACTACTTGAGCCAGGGTAGTCTTGCTAAGAGTAGAGAAAAGAACAGCAGGAACAATGGCATTCTATCGTTGCCAATGTTCAAAAAGATGATTGGAGATAGAAGAACCTGATTGGGAATCAGTTTGGGTAGGACTGATTTCTTTGGTTGGCATTGTCATTGTGCCATCTATGTAACCATACAGCCCTAGTCCACGGAAGAAATGTATGAGCTGAGCTTTCCAAACATGATAATTGACTTGAAGAAGACGTTAGTCAGTGGCATGCCCTGATACCATGTAAAAGAATTTATTTTTTTCTCATGTAATGTACACATACATCTGTACTATTTATACATGTTCAGTAAAATAGAAGCACCCGATCCAATCCTATAACTTTGCTATTTTAAATTCAAATACAAATACAAGGTTGTTGAGATGATCTTCTATTATCTGACTCCTATATTTCAAGAACTGCTTCGACGGTGTTTGAACTTCCTTGGACTTGTTCTTCAATATAGCCCAATACTGCCCCAGTCCATATCCAGTAAAATGCTTCCAACAAAATGAATAAATTTCTGGAAAAATTACCCCAAACCCCACATATAATCTATACTATTCAAAAATAAGATAGTCTAGTTTTAATTTCACAAATCAGGTTCTAATGAAAATTTATTAAATTAATTAGTCACCCTCACTGTTCTCTCTATTTGACATTTTCTACAAACTTTATTACTCTCGGAAATTCTCTCTCAACCATGCTACCGGTAATTTGTCTTTTCTCTAAATTCAAATTGAGATTGACATTATTATCATGTCCTTCAATGCATTTAATTTCATCAAAACCTGATTATATTTCAACTACAATCAAGTTTCCAATTCGCAATGTTTTTTATACTGGCTCAGGTTTCTCAATCATGATTTCGAGAAGGTCTTTTGGTTTCAATTCTAACTCAAAGAGTTAGTTTTAGAGCTGGGGTTTGTTTAGGGACGAATCTACATGGTGTCTTGTGGGGTCAACTGACCCACCCCTACAATTTTTTTTTGAAATTTAAGGGTTTCATTGTTTGTGTGGTGAAGGAAATAGAGTAAACATGGCAGGAGATGAGAATATGGAATTACAATTTTTGTGTGGAGAGAGGAGTTGCTAGATTTTAGGGAATAAAAATGAGATCTGTAAATTGTTGTGTGATTGCCATTGCCATTTATGCAATTTCTTCTGTGTTTGTGAAGTGTAGAAAAGACTATTTTGAGTAAAATTTGTATTTTTTGATGGCCCTGGGATTTCTTCTGTGTTTCACGTTTAATGAATCTTTTTAAGGACCAACTTGTGAGAGAAGAATAAAAAATGGATAGCTATGTTTTTAGTAATATATTCAAATGTTTTTTTTTTTTTTATCAATATTACATTGTTTGAGAATTTGCTGTATCCTAATTTTTTACCCGATAATGAAGAATGTTTGGCTCTGTCACTGGTTTGTGCAATAATGTAAGTGGGGATAAAAAGCATTGAAATTACTAGGATCTAGAGAATTTTGAAGGGGTTTTGGATTAGATGTTGTGTCTAAAGAGGAACTGAAAGAGAAGGATTTTCTGGATTGAGGAAGATGAAGCTCATGCGCAGGTGGATTATTTTGGTTTTTGGCAATTTTGGAAGAAGGGAGACTGAATATCTAATGAAGAGTGGTGCTGTTGGTGGCTATGTGGTGGTGGTGTGGGTTTAGGAGTAGATGCTCCTTCGTTAAGGTGTAGAGGGCAACAAATAGTAGTTTATCTTCATAGAATCAGTTAGGTAGGATGTATGTTGAGAAGAAATTCAATTGACAAATCAATTTAAGCGAGTTCACTACTACTTCAAGATTGTCTGAGATGGACCATTTGTCGAAAATGATGAGAAAACTAATGATGAAGTCCTTTTGAGTTTTTGTATTGAAGCTACTAGATGTAGCAAATTTGTGAGAACGGGTCTTATTTAGACAATATGTCACATTCAGCACATTACGGATCACAATAGGTCACAATTAACATAGACTTGATCACAGAGGAGGGTTATAGTTAACATAAAAATGGTTACAAACTTTTATATATAAACATATTTTTTCACAAACATTCACGGTTAATAGGTGTCTAATTACACATGTGACTACTAACATAGACTTAGTCACATACAGTCACAGGTAAGATTGATCTGGTCACAAAAAATCCTAATTAAGACTCTCTTGGTCACAGACGATCATAGACAACATAGATCTGGTCACAGAGGATCACAGATAACATATAAATTATCACAAACTTTAAATTTAAACATATTTTGTCACAAATATTTATTGTTAAGAGACATCTAGTTACACATACCATTATTAACATAGACTGGGTCACAACAATCACCATTATAACAAATTTGGTCAAAATAATCACAATGAAGATAAACTTAATCATAAATAGTCACAGATAACACAAGCATGTCACAAAAATAATAATAGCTTACACAAACATGGTCACCAACAATAAAAAGTTATATCAATCTAATAACAAACAGTTACAATCAAACAGAACCTGGTCACATACAGCACAAAATACAAAATCTGGTCACATACAACACAAAACCTAGTCGTAATTTATTATTTTTATTAGTTGCGATTAACGAATAGTTGGTCACAACCATTCTTTATCTGACCTAAAAGATAAAGAAATCTCATCAACATAGAGAGAATTACAAAAAGGACGAGGAGTCTGCAAAGTGGGAGATAAAAGAAACTTAATCAAGCAAAAAGTTCTCTCCAACAACACATATCAATAATTGTTGAAAAATCCCTAGGTTTAGTCCATGTAAAGGGTAGGAAAATATCACATATAACAATGATCAAAAGAAAATGAATCAATGAACAATTTAAACATTTAGAAAACGCCACCAACAATGTAGTCAAAATTTATTACAAGCACGTATACTTGTGGGCTTACCTCCAAACAATAAAATCTTAAAACAACTATGTACATAGGCTTTATAAAGGGGAAAAAAAGAAAAAAAAATTACAATGTAACTATTGTGTTCATAAACTCGAGAGTACCTATAGGTTGGTCAAAGTTGTGTTCATAAACACTTATAGAAAAGGGGATAAGGTTGTAAACCAAAATACTACAGATGTTATCAGGTATATGCCTGAAAATAATCTTGTTTTTGGAGAATTCGTAAACCATTAAAGGGACTTCTGATTCCAAACAGCACCTCAGAATCTTCACCACATTCTGACGGTTGATTTGGGAAACAATTTTTACTTCATTCGTAAACTGCTAAATTCGCCTTTGATCACTACATGAGTTCTTAATGAAACCAATGTATTATTAGGTAAAATTACTCTATAAGTGTTTCGGCACTCTATTCGTCAGTGATTATGTTTCCTTTGTCGTAGTTGTATGTTGCCTATGGAGATCTTTTGCAATAATTGTTCCATTTTCCTCTCGTCTTTTTGTCTGACTTCATTTCGGGAGCATCCAATCTAAGAAGGAACTTCCCTTGAAAAGTACCAAACGACTTTTCTTTACAGCTGCACAAACACGCCAACCATTACTTGCATCATCAGTGGAAGCATTTTATTTGAGAAATTAACTAAAATCGTGCTAAATCTGTAATGGATTTTATGTTCTCAAAGCATTATAAAAAAGACAAGTATAAGATATCTACCTTCAGGGCTCATGACAGGCACGTGATCGTGAAAAGGAGAATTGAATCTCAACTTGGAACTGAGATTTGAAGAAGTAGAGCTGCCACTATCGTTCCGACCAATTTGCCAATCTCTCTCTCCGCAGAGTGGCTTCAAGCCTTCAACAAGCCTTTCTTGTCATACCCAATTGAACCAGATTCTTGATCGTTCATTTTGAAGGACGTCCTAGAGAGAGAGATTGGGATGGGTATGACTGATTGGAGAAGTGGTATAAAGAGAGGTCTAATAGATTAGGGTAGGTATGATAGATTGTGATGATTTACATAGAGAGAGAATTAAAAAAGGGTTGAACCCCAACTTGAAGGCTCCCATCGTCCCGTCTCTAGAACTTTGTGAGAGAGGTAAATCGCGGGATGTGCCCCATCATGTCAGGGAACAAGAGCTGTATGTACACTGCGTCTATAATGAGTACAATTTTATGTTTCAGGAATCGAGCCCCCACACTGCAACTGCTAGCAGGGCGTGAGATAATCTCCCTCCTGTCCTTTGCACCATTAGGCTATGCCCCGAGGGCACGTAAAGAGAGAATTGTGTAGAGTTATGATGGTACTGTGTTTTCAAAATTTCATACATAATAATATCTTACAAATATTATTATTATTATTATTATTATTATTATTATTATTATTATTTATCACCTGATTTTTGAAATGTATTTTTAAGTTTGTTAAATGTGAAATTGTATATTTAATGTACTGTAGTTATGTATTTTTCCCTAAATTTCTAATAGTCTATAGCCCACCAATAACCAATTGCGAAAAAAATCACAAATAAACCAAGCAAAGAAAAATAATTCATTAAATACTACGCATTAATATATATTTTATAGATACCAAGCATTATAGAAAAGTATACCAACATTACTACGATTTTTTTTATTTTTTTGGCTGTTTCTGTAACTGAAGCACATGCAATGGCAAAGAACATGCCTACAATCAATTGAAATTTTTTATCATTTGCTCTCAATTAAAAACTCATGGAAAGTTCAAATTACAACCCAAAAAAGGAAGAATTGTGTGGGTCTGCAAATCTGAGAGACAATGGACACCTCTGTGTATTGAACTTCCTTTTTTATATAGATTTTGTACAATTCATATTAAGGAAAAATCACCAGAGTAATGCTATAGTATATTATGGTTTAAATTTTGAGGGACTATCTTTAAAAAAAAAAAAAATAAAAGTAAACGTATTTGGTTCCCGTGGATCGTAACTTAAGGGGATATATTCAATTGAGACTTTTAATGATTTTTTGAGATTTAAAAAGTTTAGGGGTATTCAATGGAAACTTTTATAGACTTTTAAAAAGTCTCTAAAAGTTACATTGTATTCAATTGAAACTTTTTAGAAATCTCTATAAGTCTTGGGGTATTCAAATTTTAATGACTTCTAAATACTTTTATAAAAGTCTCTGGAGTACTAATTTTTAAACAGAAAGTACTTATATAAAATTTTAAAATTTGTCTCTCATTAATCACGAGATTTTTGGAGGCTTTCACAAAAAATAAAAAATAAAATCAATTTTTCTTTCCTTTAACATTCTATGGACATGTATGATTAAAATTTATTTATTTTATTGAATATATTTCATTTATCTCTCTCTCTCTCTCTCTCTCTCTCTCTCTCTATTTATCTCTATTTTTTGTTGAAAAAATTGGATTATTGTAACTTTTTTTTTTCCTTTTTCATTCTTTTTTTGTGAAAAATTCCTATTTTTTAAATTAAATTAGGAAAAATTGCAGCCGAGGTATCAAACATTTCATTTATTAGCAGACTTTGCCCCAAATCTTTCATTTGTGCCATTATGAGTACCAAACCTTTAAAAAATGTGTACCTCAAGTCGAAATTGACAGTTCCCGTCTGTTTGAACACAAAAACCGTTAGTTGACCCCAAAATGAAAAATTTAATTATTTTCCCAAAATAAGGTAACGACATTCTAGACATAATACATTTTCCCTGTTAAATTTAAAGTTAGAAAAATAATAAAACCATCTCATTCTTCCCCAAATCAAAACCACTCCACCCAACCACCGCATTCATCGCCGGCAGCCACCACTACTCGCCGGCATCACCACCACTGCCCACCCAACAATACTCATCAACAAGAAAAGGATGGCGCTCACGACCATCATTCCCCCTACTTTGCTTCCAAGCTCATAGCATTCTACCCACGATTCAAACAGTTGGCTGCTACTCGAAAGCTGTTTGATAAAATTCCTAAATCAAATAAACGTGGTTGGGTTGCTCTTATCAGATCCTATGCTCGCCATGGGTTTTATGAAGAGACCATGTCTATGTTTTTCAAAATGCAGACGGAAGGATTAAGATATGATGTAATTGTCCTTCCCAGTGTTCTTAAAGCCTGTGGACACCTCTCTGATTGGAATACTAGAGAGAAGTTACATGCTCACGGCCGTTGTTATTACTACTGTTCCTGGTCCTGTCATTTCCCCCACGGTCGTCCACGGTGGCGCTCACGCCAGTGGTGGTGGTTTTGGTGGATACTTAAATGGGTGGAGTGAGTATGCTTTAAAAGAAACCAATCCTTCCCTCAGAGCCATGAACAAGGACAAGAAAAGCTCAACCTACGATCTTGTCGAACAAATGCAGTATTTGTATGTTAGAACAGTAAAAGCTCGTGAGATCTCACTGTTTGGTGGTGGTGAGATTTTAACTGAGGTAAAACTTGGGAATTACAAAGGGATGAAGCATGTGGTGGTGAACGATTCTGAGGTTATGGAAAACAATGAAAACGAAGACGAGTTTATTGTCTTCAATTTGAGGTGTTTGTGATGGAGATGGCTTCTACAGGTGGAAAGCCGTTTGTGAGGGGGTTGGGGAAGAAGGAGATGGGGGTGGGTGCTTGTGGTTTTGCTTTTCTAATTTTTAATTTAATAGGGGAAAAGTATTATGTCCAAAATGCCCTTATCTTATTTTGTGGAAATAATTAATTTTTTTATTTTTGGGGTCAACTAACGGTTTTTGTGGTCAAACAAACGGAAACCGTCAATTTTGACTTGAGCTGCATATTTTTTAAAGGTTTGATACTTACGATGGCACAAATGAAAGATTTGGGCAAAGTCTGCTAATAAATGAATTGTTTGGTACCTCGGCTGCAATTGTTCCATTTAATTATAAAAGTTAATATGAAAAATTTATATTAAATCTAAATATATTGATTTTTCTTTATTTTTAAAAGTTGCTATACTAATAATATTGAATTGCGCGCGCTTGTGTATATATAATTTTAATTATTATTTATTTAACTAAGGTCTTAAATTTTTTTCACATTTTTTTTAATTATATGGGAAGAAGTGGAATTGTGAGAACTAACACCCCATATGTGAGAATTTCAGACTCGGTCTACGTGAATTCTATTTCAAATGAAAGTTTTTAAAAGTCTTTTGAATTTCAGGAAAGTCTATAAAAGTTTTAAAATGAAAATTCATAGAAGTTCACGAAAGACTTCCACTAATTTCATACAAATCTATAAAAGATCCACAAAAGTCACCATTTAAAAAAAGTCTATCAAAGTCTTCAAAAGTTCCAATTGAATACACCCCCTCAATTTCTCTTTGGGCTTTGATTTCTTGATTAAGAAGTTTAGGCTGTAAAAAGTCACCGATTTTCCTTACTGGCCACCAATCGTGAATGTATTATGTATATCATATGAACTGAAGTTGATTGTTCATATATTGGATACAAATCTGATTTTGTCTTTCAGTTCTTAAGCAATTTTTTATAATAAGTTTTGTGAATGAAACTTATTTAGGTTGCTATAATATTCAACCATCTCATTGTTATTCTTATAGATGTGAAAAAAGTTTTATCTTTTAATGGTGATATGTGCACATATGAACAAAGATTAAGTTTTTGACATGGAATATTTCATGGTCAATTGGTTTTGTGATTTGATTGATAAATAGTCTCAACTTGTAATGGTTTGTATCAAATCCGTTATGCTTTGGGAACAAAATGAAAATGTAGTTGTAGAAATTACAATAACTGTTGCTTATATGATTGTATCACGAGGGCTACGTCTCTAATTTGGTTGGAACGCATCAGGGGGGATTCAGGATTGGATCCAAGGCCGAACTACAAAATTTCAAACCGAACTACTATGCCGAAAAAAAAAATTTACACATAAAAAACTGTTTTTTTACCAAAAAAAATTAAAAATACCTTAAAAAAAAAGCTATTGGGCCTGAGGAGGCCCCCCAAATCCGCCTCTTCAACCCATAAGTAATGCAAGTTGAGATACAATGGCAAACTCAGACACACTATTCAAAATCTTTAAATGTTATGGATTATAAAATATTAAAATTCTTGAACCATATCCTTGGATAATATGCACTAATTTACTAAAGAAATGAAAATATGGTGTCTTTGCTGTATTCACATCCATCCTTAGTGTAGCACACAAATTAAAACGTCAATCAATTGCTATGGATATTAGTAACCTCACTTCACTCTTACAGGATAAAAATGTGATACATGCTATGCACCTATGCCGCATGTCAAGAAATAATTACAATGATAACAATGAAATTTGTTCACATGTTTAAGCAATTGATATTTTACTCAACGCAATTTTATCCTGAGAAATTTGATTCCAACAGGAGTCACGTAATCAAGCTAGGGAAAGCAAAAAAATCCGCCCCCTGAATGGGGCAAAAAAACCAACCCCGAACGGGTTGGTGGGGGCGGGGCAAGGCGGGCCATCCGTGAAGAAAAAAATAAAAATAACAATAAAAATAAAATTATTTCTAGACAATTTACCCATTAAAAACCCATTTTGAATTTTTATTTTATTCTCTAATAATAACATAATTCGAAACTTTCAAAATGTAAAAAAAATAATAAAAAAAATTAAATAGGGCAAACAGTTGCCCCATCCCGCCCTGTTTAAGGTGGGGCGGGGTTCGAGCCAAACCCGGTCCGATTCCGAATCTGTCCTGCTATCATCACTAAATCAAGCATTTAAACTTGCAAGAATTTAAATTAAAACATATTTTAATTCACAAACATGTCATAAAACATAAACATAATAAAATCAACGATGATGATTTATGTAAACTTGCATATTCATTAACCACCCTAAAATAAGTAAGTTCATACTTGCTATGACACTAAACTGTTGTTTTGGAAAATAATAAAACCAACATACTCTATAAAAAAAACTAT